TTATCAGCTTAAATATCTCCTACCTTTAAAACACTTACAGCAGTTCATTTGTGGAAGAACAATACCTTTCTGTATCAGTCTGCATCCTTATGCTTGGGTTTGGTTGGTTTGGTGGGGGTTTTTTTGTTTTTGTTTTTGTTTTTGTTTTTTTCCCCTGTGAGGGACAACCACCCATCTCAGACACAGATATTTGGGAAGTTCCTGAGTGAGAGTGGAAGGTAGTGCTCCAGGCCTCTGTGTGGGTATTTGTGCACTGGTGTTCCCCCAGCTGTTTAAAAGAGATATATTTGTACCTTGTAAGCAAAACTCTCCTTATCGATTAATTGAACTGGCAGAGTGACTTACTGCCATACAGGCACTAAAGGCAGGAAAGGACAGAACATCATTTTTAGATTGGCTATAATTCAGAGATATTGCCTATGTTACTGTGTCTTGACAATATATTTAAAAAAAAAAATAAATTGCTCTAAGTTTAGGTACCAGCTATGGAGATAAATGTGCGGTCATGTCATTGCTGTTAGAAATACTGAGAAAAATACTAGGGGGACCGGGAAGACTGGACTGTACATGCCTGCGCTGGCTGCGGGAGGGTGATTGTGATGCAGAGCCTATGGTACTTATTTGGGCAACAGGAAGAGGCCGTTACTCCAGGGGAGAGGCCAGCCCTGGGTGCTGAGCTGGGGACCTGCAGGTTGGCCAGTGAGGGGCTCGGGGCATAGCTGATGTTTGAGTCCTGGCCCCTCCCGGAGCACAGATGTCTCTGTCCAGATGGTGCCCTGTATTTTCCTTTGGGAGTAATGGCTAATTAAAAAGGCTCACTACTTCAGTGACAGCTGGGAAGGTAAAGTGGTGGTTGGCTCTGACGTGATAGATGGAGAAACAGCCTCGGGAGTCCTTGAGTCTAATAGACATGGGGGTGGGAGCCCTGTGTGACACAGCTACGGAAATTTTCTCCAAGGCCTCTATTAGTCATGAGAGTAGGCAGCCTGCCTTGCCTGTGTGGCCTTTTAAGCAACAATTATGGAAAATATCCTAGGTGTCAAGGGGACTAAAGAGGGAAAGGACTCTTTTGGAGACTTACAGAAGTGAACTGTGAAGTAAATCCCCAATGAGATCAGTCATCCCTGGGCAAGTCCAAAGCCTTCTCTAACTTTGAGCTCCATAGCAGCGTACCACAAAACTTCTCCCCTTCGCACGAAAGCTTCCCTCCAAGCAAGGAGAAACATGGAGAGCAACATCCTCATTAGCTGAGGTGCGCTCTTCTACTTACGCCTCTGCAGTTCTGGCCCTGTGTTTCTGCTGCAGCAGTGGTGTACAAAAAGAGCGTAGTGGCTGAGACAGAAATGTGCCTGCAGCTTTGCCTGTCCTTGCCTTTGTGAAATGAATTTGGAGACTTCCAGTAGAGATCTTAGCACATTGCAGCCACAAAACCTGGCCTGAATGCTTGGATCATTATCAGTACAGACATTTAACTATAATAGCATTGAAGAAAAACCATTGTTTGTACTTGAAAAGTGAATTACTGGCTGCACGTAGAGTTAGCATGTCTAATCAGTAACCACTGCTGGTTTCTGGAGACCAAGGCAGATGATTTGGGTTGGACTTCAGTACAAGGTGTTGGGTATATCTATATATTTACATGACACCCAGGAGTATGTTAATGACTTGGCCAGTGTCAGTAACTGGTCATGACATGTCTCAGCAGAGGTGTCTAATGTGGAGCTGCTGAGACATTGAGGTAAGGTAGAGGTTCAGAGTGGGAAATGATGTCAGCTGGAGAGATGGCCAGAAGGAAAGAGGAAAAAAGAGGAAGACAAAGTTCTGAGGGGTAGAGGGGGAAAATGGAGAATGGAAAAATCAATCCACTGAAAGTCAGCAGGACTTATCTCAGAGTTGGGATTAAGAACAAAAGCAGTGGGGAGCTGTGAAACAGGACGACAGATTCAGGATAGATACGGTGATGCTGACGGCACCTGGGATGTAGAGGAGGTTAAGCATGAGATGTTCTTATTCAGCAAAGATGGCCCAAATCAGGATGAAGTTGATCTTTGTTGCAGATGAGAAATTCTTGGCAATGGTGGTGGGCTGCACGTTCAGATGGGAGATGAAAGATATCAGGCAAGAAATGGTGCCATGCTTGAAATTCTTCAGCAATTCCTGGCAGACAGCTATCCACAGTGGTGCTAAATTGTTGACAGTCTTATCACCAAAGCCGTGGAGTAGGTAGATATCTGGGCTACAAATGTCCCTCCTGTTTAGGGAAGGGTAGTGCAGTGAAGCCAGTGCAGGCTCTGCTCTGTGGTACCTGAATGAAAAGTGCAGTCAGTCCAGCAGCTTTCTGGAAGAAAAGATGGCATCTTTGGCAAGATCTTGTGGGAGTTGTTATGTTTTCTGGCTTTTTTATTAAATTTGTTTGAAGATCTACTCTTCCAGGCCCTGAAGTTTGTGTGCACTTCCTAAAGCTACTGAGCAGAGAAATACCTGGAGAGAGAACGAACCCCAGAGGCAACATTTGCCACTGAAGGAAAGGACTGGACCAACATCTGCCCATGAGGTTTACCAAAACTCCTCCCCCAAACGTGCATTGCTGATCACATGCAGGCAAGCTTACTCAAACCGATGCATTGGAGTTTGGAGCAGAGAATCTGCATCAAAATAAACATCCAATTTCCTGTGTCATTGCATAGGTATGAAGAAATAGATAAAAAGGGGTTATAAGAATGGCAATGCAAATGCTGTACTACTATGTTTAAAAGAGAAAGGACATGCTATTAACAGAAAAAGCTAGTCTGGGCAGAGTAACACACCAGTGAGGCTACATGGCTTCAGCACTCCTCCCCGTGATACCTCTGGGTCTGAATCAGGCCCATACTCAGATTTCTGACCGTGAAAATGGTGGCTATTTAAAGAGCAGTAACTATTTTTGGAGTATTAAAGATCCTTCAAATTTGTTATGTGTTTATTGTAATGAAAAATGATGTTATTAGTTCAGCTGGTTGAAATGTTTTACGTGGAACATTAATCTTCTGAAAAATGAGGCTCTGCAGAAACTGACTCAGGGTGTATGATGGCAAATTATTATTTTTTAAAGAAAATTTTATATTAAGGAAAGAGGAAATATTTATTTTAAAAAATGTCACATTTGTGTGAAAAATATTAGTAGTTTTCCAAGCCAGCAAATCTTACGGTGCCTACAGTCTGTAAACTGGTGATTTATTCTGCCTAACTGAAGGTATGGAGTATTTTTCTGTTCTCTTCAATGAGGGATGGATTAGGCCCCAGAAGAGGCTGTCTGGTTATCATTATTTTTACACCCTTATGATGTTTTTCTGAGACATTATTTCTGTAAATTAAACTGGAAATCAAATGATGCCCCCTTCACTCAGCTTGTAAACAAACCTTTCTAGGGCTAGTTAGAGCATCCAGATTCCTTTAGTATATATCGTGCATGCTCAGAAGTTGTCTCTCAGTGCTGGGACTCTGGCCGCCCCAGTCCTGTGTCTCCTGGGACTGGAAGGAGAATAAGAGTTCAGGCTTCTCCCCCAAAAGAGAGATTTCTCTGCATCTGTGTAGCCTTGTACATCTTAACTTGCCTATGCGGAATTTGTTTGGTCACCTACGTGTATGTTCATAAATTGTACGCCTCTTTGGAGTAAATAATCAAAGTGGAGCATTCCCTTTTTTATAATGCAGTAGTTTTAAATAATTCTACTCATATGCATGTAAATGATTGTTTCTCAGCGTAACACTGCAGCCTGTTACTCAAAATTAACACAGACTATGTACAACTGAAAAAAAAAAAAAGATTTTTGGATATATATTTTATTTGACAGTGGTTTAGAATATCATACAGTAAACAAGATTTCTGTAAAAGTTAATTTATCCATAGTGGTGCGTTTCATAAAAATAGTTGCTCACTTACAGCCTTTCTGTGACTATTAATACATGGAATTATATTTATAGAGATAGAGCTGTACAGGGTAAATTCACAGCTAACACTACACAGAAATATTATTTGGAATGGGGTTTAGATGATGTGCTGTCTTCACAGGTTATCGATTACAGCCGCATAAAGCAATTACTGCACAAGGAGTAGCTGTGAACTGTGCAAATTAGAGTTTATGCAAGCATAATCTCAACTGTTTTTCAGATTTCATTGTTTGCTTTATTTATACATAAAAATAAGATACTGGGACGTGCATCTACACTACAGAAGCATTGTCCAAAATCAGATTCAATAAATTAATGGCAAATTATATTGGATTCTAGTTCAGGGGATAAAGATTTTTTTTTTTTCCATTAAATAAGAGTTTTATAAACAGCTACATGGACTTGTGCTTTTTTAGAAATTATAAATGGATTTTTCTTTCAAAAAAAATTGTTTGAAAGCTGCAAAATCCTTGACTTGAGGCTTTTCAAATAATTGGACAGGAAGAAACATGCCTACAAATTTCTCAGTCCAGTGCAATGTTTGAGACATACAGTAATGTGCTAATTTCTTGGAACAAAGCCAATCTCAATCTAATTTTTCAGCAGAGCATGTGAGGAACTAAGATTGCTAGAGAACAATAATTTTTAAATACGAATTTTTGACAGTACTTAGCTTTATGATTTTTTTTTTTTAATTACCAATGTATTATTGCCCAGGATTTTGTTTTAATTTTGACAGACAAATAAGCATATGCACACTTACACAGACACATACGCATCTTTTTGAAACAAGTTAATGACTGATTGACTGAACTCGGAGTTATTTCCTGTGAAGGCAGACTGGAATGTTTACCTGGCACTTAAGGCTTGAAATTCAAAACAGACAAGCAAGAAAGATAAAACAAAAAAGACCAAAACAAAACAAAAAAAATGGAGGTAGGGAAGAAATGATAAAATGGAAACCATTTAAAAAATGGAAGTATGTTGAATTTACTGAATGAGGACACTGACAACTGCATTTCAGAAACCAGTCTAATTATTGTTAACGTGTGCCTGAAAGGCACCTGCTCTGCCAAACTGAGGGGACGAAAGGTGCGAGTGTCCTGACTAAATGTAGATGGGTGTGAAACATAGCACTGTTGATAAGTGAAGCTCTTGTTTTCTGCAGGAGGGAAAGGCCTTTCCTTAAGGAAACTGCAGCTTTTTCTCTGTAGCACTCTTCCTTTCATTGCAAGGGCCTTGCAGATGTCTGGGTTTTGAGCCTGACCAATTGGTTTGTGTGCTACCTCGCAGGATTTGGGGAACCTGTAGTAAATCGCTTTTGAGAATAATTTGCAAATACAACTCCACCCTAACTCCTTTCCAATGTACAGAAACATGGTTTGTTCACAAAAATGGCAGTAGAAATGGTATCACAGAAACTAATCCACCAGATTCCCCACTCCTCCCGTAGCGCCCAGTGAACTATGCTACAGGGTATCGCGTGGACTATCCCAAAGCGTTAACAGTGGAGATGTGTCATGGGTGTACAGTTCCAAACGATGCTTCAAAGAAACCCTTTAACCCCTGTCTAGATATGTCGAGAACAATTTATTTACAACATTTTAGCTCCATGAAAAGATCCTCTCTCGGTTTCAGCTTGCTCCGTGCAGTTTTATTTAAGGCGATGTTCCAGTTTGTGATTGCTCTAACTTGTTCCAGTTTCTTGATATAAAGTTTGAATGAAATCCAAGTCCTTCATGCAGTGGGAAAAAAATGCTAAAGCTACACTGCACTATCCTTCTCTGATGTACTGTCCTTCATATTGTTTTGGTTTCTTCCATAGCTGCCAAAGTCCCTAAAATGGAACTGGGACTTTAGGGTCGATTTTAAATCTCCATGTTGACTATATGCTCTTGAACTTATTAGATACTGTGCACTTTGTCATGGAATTACACACGTTTTCATTCCTCAATGCTTTGTGTATGTGTGTGATTGATAGTTAAAATAAATTAAAACAAACCAAGGTGAGACAAAAACTAAGAAGAATGTTCTGCGTCAGTTTGAGACAGTTAGAGGGCAACAGTCCCTTGCTTATCTGCTCATGGCAGAAGTACCAGACTTCAGAACGCTAGGTAGCTTATCTGAGCCAGGGATTTTCCACGGCCCTGGGGAGACTGTTGCCTTTCGAACTGTGGTGTTGGTGCTGCGAGTGCTAATGGCGTGGAGATGTCCCTTCCTGGGGAACTCGCTGGGTTTCCCGTCAGGGTCCCTCTGGCTGTGGTCCATATCGCTTCCAGGCGAGCTGCAGCGGTTGCTACTGTACGTCTTGGTAGCACCTGTATCAAGCTTGACATGGTCGGATGCTGCAGCTGACTTCTTCTCACTGGTATTTGTGGATTTGTGATCTTCTTTTTTGCTAAGAGATCCTCCTCTCTTGCTTTCCGGCTTCCTCAGCCTCCCAAACTGTTCATCACTGGTTCCAGCACACATGTGCTCTCTTGCGCCAGCCTCGATCATAACGCTGTGTCCCACCACTTTGCCTTCTGAGGTGGGCCTGCCACCATCAGTGGTCTTATTTTTGCCTTCTGAATATCCTTTCCAAGAAGCCTCTTCATGCTTTGACCTGTCTACCTTTTTAGGACTTGCTGACCTTTCTCTTTGTTCTCCTAACCTTTTCTTTTTGTGACCGTTCACCGAAAGCTCCTTTGGTTTCCTTACATCGTGTTCCCTCTTGATATCCCATGTTGCCTCTGGGCTTATCTGGTGAGAAGGGTCAGAGGGTGGGGCTATGTGTGATGAAGATAATGGTGAGATTATGTCATCGAGGGAAAGAGCTACTTCCGGCAGACCTGGGGAGGTGGCAGAGGGAGCACTCCAGGAGTTTGGTTCGTCTGTTGTAACAACAAAGAGAAGGGAGGTAAGAGCATGTTCAGCAGCACAGAGCGTGTATTGCATAGGCATATATGTATTCTGAGCAACATCAACGCCCAAACCACATACCAGACTTAAAATCCTCTGTTCTAGGAATACGAGACTTAAACTCCTCTGTCTCATATGAGGTGAAACTCCCAGGGTAGTCAATGGGGAGGAAAACAAAAATAATCTCCCTCCCCCCCAAAAAAAAAGTCCAGAAGAAGCAAGAACCACAGGGCTGGTAACTGCAAATGCTGAAATCCTCAGTCTTTTTTTCATACAGATTCTGCTTTCCTCTGCCTACATTAAATTATTCTTAAAATAATAAAGGCACGTGTTCATGAAATCAAATTGCCTCTTTTGTAGCCGTATAATGGATTTCTTAGCTGGGCAATATCAGCGCTGTCTCTGAGGACAAATGAGAAGGACTTTCTGCCATCTATTAAACATGTCCCTACAAGCATATAATAATTGACAAGAATTTGTAGCTCAGATAAGGTCATAATTTAATTCTGTCCCATATTTTTTCTAAACAGATATAATATTGCAGTGTTTATGGCCCCACAATTCTTACAGGGTACTTACAAAGCTCTGCCTTTATATCACAGCGTCAGCCGCTGAGTGTCTTGGCTGTGCATTTTGAATTTCTCCTGGTTACTTAGTCTCAACACAATATGGTTGGATTGTGCAGATCCCGTTTAATTTAGCTAAATAGACGTCTCCTTTGCTGAATCATGATGATTTTCCTAATCCATTGGTACAAACCATAATATTCTGAGATGCCTTTCTCTTGCATACACGAGCCTCATTTCTTTTGATTAACGTTCCGGCAGACAATGAACCCATCATGACTAATGACAGCACGACTCCTATTCTTACCCGTCTACATGGAGGTTAGAGAAATCACTGAACTTGGCTAATGTCATTCCCTATTTAGCACCATTGCCTGGCTCTGAACGGTATGAGCAATAATCTGTCAGAGATGAAGGACTATCTCAGGGATCCATGGAAACGAGGCGGAACTCGTGGCAAAAGCTGCATATTTCACGGGGGGAGAAAATGTAACCTTCTGGCTGAAAAACAAGCATGGACTTCTGTGGGTCAGGACTAGTATCTCTCGGTGATATCAACTGTCCTTTAAAAGATACACTTATTTTTCTCAGTGCTATGGCTGCCTTCAAATTATCACGAAGATGCACATCATCTCAAAAAATAGAATGGGTTTTACTGCCCAGCCTGGGATCTGCAGCTTGCTTGACTGAGACGGCACTTTTAAGTTAATAGCTTGATTGAGTGATAGCTGTCTTGCAGATAAAAATAGGAGAGACAATAGTGAGGTGGGTGACGTAAAGGGAGGAAGCAGCGCAGTTAGCTGAGGAGCTATTTATTTTCCCAGATGGTGTTTGTCATATGCTTTTGCATAATGAGCATATGTGTGGAGAGGATTAGCATTTGAGAGGGGAGAAAGTACAAGTTCTGTGTAAGACGAATAAACTTTGAGCTGGGAATCTAAATGGGCTGAGGGTCTCAACTGAATTTTTTAAAAAAAACCCCACACTTTCTTACCCTCCAGTTAAGGCTGAGTAATGTACCATCTGCTCCCTGCTTGGCACTTGAGCAAAAAAAAAAATTTAAAAGGAAGGCTCATGCATGTAGAGTGATCAGCTCTTAGGAGCTTGCCTACAAAAAGCATCTGCTTTGATGGGATGCTGCTTTTCTTCAGCGTCGCCCCGCTGGTGCAGGATGGCAGGCTGTGCCTGACAGGGGGAGGCGCAGACCCCACCCTGGCTCTTTTTAGATCTGAAATCCAGGGGATCCCATTTTGGTTAACACTTGAATCAGGGACCATGCATGGGGTCCAAGTCACCTTGCCTGTTTTTTTAAAATGATGCCTGGACTCCTCCAAGCAGCATGAACCTGCCTGTGTGCACCAGTGAGGTACCTGAGCACTAAACAAGCCACCTTGGGCCTTAGAAAATCAAGTTTGTGCTTTTTATGGCATTGTCACACCTCCCAAGGACAGAGGTGGTGCCAGGCGTTGGCCTGACCAACATATTTGACTTAACTAGAGTCTCCTTTCCCAGTTGTCCATGAGATGATGTTTTTCACTGAGTGGCAGTGAAGAGCAGTGGGCCATTACCAGACCTCGTGCAAGGCTCTGAGAGCATCTGAAGTTACAGAAATAGCTTGTTACTTTGGGAAGTATCAGCTGCACACCAGTAAAAACACCAAATGGCCTGAAGCAGCAAGATGCTTTCAGGTAGCAAGGTTACCTCTGTACAAAATGTGTGACTCTGCTCAAATCAGCTGTTCCTCATCCAGGAGGACAAGCCAGGTGACCACCATTCAAAACCAGAGTGGCAAACACCTCTCACGGCTCCTCTGAGATATGAAGGGCAATATTGTACCAGTTATTTGTGAGACACTCAGACAAGGAGACCTGGGGATGAGTGGCCTGCTGTTTTATTCCCTGACTGTCCCCCTAGACAATTTTCTTTTTTTTTTTTTTTCTATTTTCTTTTTGAAGGGGAGGGAAAAACCACCAAATGTTGCAGTGAGAAATTGTAGTGGGTTATAACCGACTTCAGCAAAAGTGAATTAACATATTTATTACATATAATCATAGAATCATAGAATGGTTTGGGTTGGAAGGGACCTCAAAGACCATCTAGTTCCAACCCCCCTGCCATGGGCAGGGACACCCTCCACTAGACCACGTTGCCCAAAGCCCCATCCAAAAGCCCCATCCAACCTGGCCTTGAACACTTCCATGGATGGGGCCTCCACAACCTCTCTGGGCAACCTGTTCCATCGCCTCACCCCCCTCATAGTGAAGAATTTCTTCCTAATATCTAATCTAAATCTACCCTCTTTTAGTTTAAATTCATCACCCCTTGTCCTGTAACTCCATGCCCTTGTAAACCATCTTTCCCCAAACTAATATAATGATTTATAATAATATGTAAATATAGATATCTATGAGCTAGATCATGCAATATTATAGGCATTACTGGATTTCTGCCTCTCCTCCAGAAAACCCTAAGAAAAATAAAACTTGACCAACTAAGCAAGAAGACTCCTAGCCACATCTTCAAGGGAAGTTTGGCTGTGGGAGAGCCCCAGATGGGCCACTGGCTGCAGTTTGTTTAAAACACTGTGCCTTCTTGCTGGGGAGGCACCTGTATAGGCTGTATTTCCAGTGGCTGGGGGGGAAAAAAAAAAGCTGCCATGAACTGAAACTACCAGTCATAATGCATGGCAATATAGTACTTGCAAGTAGGAACTCAACAAAATGACTTTCCATAAGATTTAAGTACCATCGCTCTGAGACAGCCCAAACCCAGACTAACTTGTTTTTTTTCTTTCAAATGAAATGAAATTATGTAGAAAGTCATCCTTGGCCTTGGTAGATGTTAATGTCAACAAGTCATTGTTGCAATACATCACTGGCTAGTGAGGAGAATACTGATGTGAAGGTATTGTCACCAGCTTTCCTCTAATGTTTGAATATTATGGGAAAATATCAAAATTACTAGGGTAGAGCAAAGTGCAGTAATGTAAGTAATTTGTTGCTCAAAAGAAAAACCTTTTAAAGAGATGTGTTCAAGCCATACGGGTTCATTTGGACTTGTTCAACCAGCACTAAAATGATTGCTTTTCCATAACAAATATAAACAGGAGAAAAAAAAGTAAAGTTTTATTCTGTAGAGCATCTAAACTAATGATTTCTCTTTATGCTTATTCTGAGGTTATAGCTGCATTTTGGAGACATTTATTAATATTTCTGAATAAATATTTTTTTTCTGCAATTTTTAAGCTTTATATAAAACCTGTGTGCTAAGTGTGAACATAACCTACTTTTACTGTCTGCTATTCCAAAGTATCTCAAAACATTTTGCAAACATATTAAATCAGAGACAGAACAACTATTTTACTTTTTTCTTCCTTCACCTCTGGGAGCAACTGAAGACAGTATTTGCTTAATAGAGCATGAACTACTAATGCCCAAACAACTTACAAGCAGCAGTGACGGATATCACATTCAGTTGAAACTACAGGAGAGATTTAGGGATGATGTAGTTTTAAATTTGTTTTTGACTTTGTCACTATGGATATCATCCTTACCGGGGGAGGAATTGTTTTTCAAAGGTATACATCTTACTGAAGGCTAATAGATGCCTTTCTCCCTTCTTTGAAGGGAGAAAATCTCCCTTGACCTACTAATTTAGACAAGATAACTGAGCTGGGAGCAGCACTATAATCTGTCACTGTGATGGCATTTGATTTGGTATAATTTAGTAGGTGTTTTCTGGGTGGCTTTTAGTTTCCATAAGCTACTGGTATGCAGGTTGGTGGCACTTCTTCATGGGATGTGTAAGAATGACTCACCTGCGACCTGTTTTGCATAACTCCCAGGCAAGGAGTAAGTTGCTAACTGAGTAAGAGACACCACAGACACAAGATCTTGAGTGTGTAGGAGGACAAGTAGGACATGAACACAGCCGTTTTGGAGGAAGAGTGACAAGGGGAAAACATCAGGAGCAGAAGTTTTCTGTCTAAAGGCTTTTTTGTTTGAGGTAGAACTGCCACATACATGACTTGTTGGCTTACACACGTTTAATGGTGTGGAAATGAAAGCACTACTCTCATGTACCTACCTGCTCCTTTCTCAGCTAAAGCCTAGTCCTCTACCCAGTTCTTGCTGATGGCTTATGTCTGAGCCACTGGCCTCGCTGCTCACGGAGAAGAGAGGTGTGCCTGTCTCACCTTCTGACCATTGCCTAGGTACTAAAAGTCAGAGGAAAGAGCTCGGCCTACTGATAAGTTTATTTAATTTCCTGCAATACTTACATTTTTTTACAGGTTGTCCTTCTAAGATTCTGTCAGATCTAGTCTTGGTGTGCTTATCTGCTCTGTCAAGATCTCAGGTCAAGAGAGATTAGAGCTTGGATTTCTTACTAGTTACTACTACCAGTTA